GTTGACGGGAGGCGCGATCCAGCCGTCCGGTCAGGTCGCGGATCTCGACCGCCTGATCAGCCAACAGGAGTCGCAGGTCCTGCGACCGAGAGGCCGCACGGTGCTCCCACCCCTGGATCTCCATCGCTTGGTCATGGATTTGGGCCCGCAAGGTCTGAAGTTGGGTAGTGTGTAGAGACGCAGCTTGGTCTTGGGCATCTTGAGCCGTCTGGAGCTCCGCCGTCAGGGTTTGCACCTGATCGGAAAGAGCCTGGGCTAGAACCCGCAGATCGGTGGGCGACATGGAAGACGGACTGACCGGAGGTGTAGTGGATGGGGCCTTGCCCGACGATTTGCCGGTACGCTTGGCGGGAGACATGTGTCGCGAAGGGGAGAAAGCGGTTGTGGATGCTGGTGATGCACGTCGTGGACGCTGTTGTGCAGCGCCGACCACGTACAGGAGGCGATTGTGGTGAAGTGCTTTTTCAGAAATAAGAGAATGGTCCTGACGCGGGGTCACTATCCCGAATCAGTGACAATTTCAAGTGATTATAGAGGATTTGGGTTGTTTGGCACGGGTGCAAGTTGCCTGTGGTGGATTAGCCATGGCGAGCAGCACCCCGTATGGAATGACGATGGATCTGATATGAACGATGTACGAGAAGGCAAGATCCACCAAGACTTACCTCGGATCCACCCTTACCTGGATTCACTAAGATGGATATGGGATATACTATACAAGAGTGGATCGAGTGTGGATCCTATGAAGGAAGGATGGTCGGTGCTCTCTGACGGTGGATCTAGTAGCCACGGCTAATGAAGAGTCAAGATCCACCGCGAGGTACCCCGGATCCCATACTTCCGAGTTCGTATCCAAGGAGGGAGGATCCCGCCTGGAGGGACCTGGATCCAGGGTATAGGGATGAGGGATACAGTGGATCTCGAACTTTCGTGGGACAACGGAGATCACAGATGGTTGCGAGATGATGTTGGATGATTGGAGAGCTCGGATCCACGGCGAGTGTACCATTACAGTGAGGTGGATCCAAGCGACCTGGATCCGGATGAGTGTACCCATAATAGGGTGACCATGATGATTACGTCATATATCCGGTGGATCTGAAGATAACACAGCTGGGATGATGGGTCAAGGGAAGAAGGGACATGCAGCTCGAGCCTGGTAAGGGATTTAGCAGATGAAAGACATAGAAGGTAGAAACCCAGGCAGGTATAGGCTTAAATATCA